AGAATGGAAGCATTGTGGTTCCCACTGTGTCAGGGTGGGACCTACATAATGTAGGTGCTGGTTCACACTGTGCCAGGATGATTCTACATAATAAAAATGCTGGCTCACACTGTGTCAGGGAAGTTCTACATGCTTAGTGAGAAAGGCTTTTTCCTCTAGAATTTCCAGTATCTAATAGCTTTGGGCATGATCACCTTTTGTAGCAGAGTTAAGTAAAACCACCTCAGTGCCTTGCTTCAGAAAACATGGTTAGCCACAACAAGCCATTGTCCTTTGCAGCCATAATGTATTTTGTCCTACAAACGGACTCTTTGTTAATGCTGTGATATTATTGCAGGTTTTCAGTTCTATATCTCCACTAATACCAAGCATAGGGGCACTGTATACAGTAGGAGTTTAATAGATGACTGTTGATTTGAAGAGTTTGTTAACTTAGATGTTCTCTGGCAGAGCCCTGCAAGGAAATGGAATACAATGGAAAGAGTGCTGGATTTTGTGTCAGAAGACCTGAGTTCAAATATTAGCTCTGTCAATTACTACTTGTGCCACCTTAATTCACTTTAATCTCTCTTTGTCTCGGTTTCCTCATCTGTAATTTGATGGGGTTAGACCAGATGACCCCTGAAATCCCTTCCAAAAGCAACTAGGTGGCACAGTGGATAGACCACAGCCCTGGAGTCAAGAGGACCTGAGTTCAAATCTGGCCTCAGACTAGCTGTGTGACCCTGGACAAGTCACTTCACCCTGTTTGCCTCAGTTCTTCATCTGTAAAATGAGCTGGAGAAGGAAATAGCAAACCCCTCCAGTATCTTTGCCAAGAAAACCTCAAATGGGATCATGGAGAATTGGACGTGACTGAAACAAGAACAAAAAACCAACAGAATCCAAATCTATGGTCTTATGAATATTTAGAAAATCAAATGTATTCACATCATTTTTGACAGAGTAATTTAAGAAAAACATTGCCTCCTTTACATAATCACCAGGAATTCACACCCCTCTCACTTCAGCTCAAAATTAGAGAAAGTTTCAGCTCCTTACTTCTACCATACCCACGTGTATCAGATTCACTGAATCCTTGAATGTCTGACCTTTGAGGACCATGGGCCCCCAGGCCAAATAACTAAGGAAGATGGGGGCTCCATGGATCAGACCCAGTATACCAATCAAAGAAGAAAGAGAAACATGTTACCTAGCAATGGACCACAAAATCCAGTGTCCCAGATGTTACTGAAGATGAAGAAGAGAAAATGAAATGTTGGTCCTGAGGTGCCTTCAGTGTGGGCCTGTCCTTCTCCTGCTTGGAACAAGAAGAAAGGATCAGGTTAATTTACACTCTGAATGGAATACTCAGCAGGATTTGTAATCTGATCAAACACAGAGATCCCAGGTCAAAGCCATAACTCCTAGACTGTCATAACAATTTCAAACATTGGTAAGAACCCAGAGCTCTTCACCTAGTCATTGTTGAGGTTCAGACAAAGTCTCAGGATGAATGACAGTAAACAGGGATGTGAGATTTGCCCTGGTGTGCTTGTTCATCCTCCACTATTATTTTCCTCCAACTCTTCCCCAAAGGCTGCCTGTCCTCAGAGAGCTTTCAAGACAGACCTCAATCTTGAGGAGCTCACATTCTAATGTAGGAGGGTTCAGCTACAAGGCATATGGAAAAGCTCTGTGGTCTTTAAAGTCTAGTAATCAAAGCAGCAGGACAGATTATAAAGTCCCATGAACCTTATTTAGCAACAACAGGGCAAATGGTCTCCAACCAATAGCTACTGGAAAGGAGAGAGTGGCCCCAAGAGTTAGAGCTGGTACATATCTGTCATCCAGGAGCCAATTAAGCTTGGTGCCCCCCAAGTGTTGGCCTTCAAATGACAAACATTCTTTAGCCACAGCAACTCATTAAAGCTGTCACGGTCTCAGGGGTTGCAGTCTTGATGGGAGGGGGGTGAGGAGGTGGTAGTGAAGATGGGGGGAAGGTGGTGGAAGAAGAAAACGTCCAGTCACATGTGAATTCAAAACAAACCTCAAGGCCAAATATCAATTTGGGGATTATCCATGCCTCTGCTGCTCTCCCTTTCTGTCATTAGCCAAACATCCCAATGTGTTCTTTTATGGAAAAAAAAAGTGATGCTGAGCTCCCTGGGTCACAGTCAGACTAGGGGTGGGGAGTATACTGGCATTGAAGACAGTTTTCTACTCCTCATCCCCAATTCTGGGGCTCAGACAGGTGCAGTCTCATCGGCTAAGACTTCAAAGCCCAGAATGACTAGAATCTTTTCAATCTCCCTATCTCCTGGGGAAATGGGGCCTCCTACATGCCCCCTCCCCCAAATTCTGCTCTAGCAGGCTAGACTTGGTGGAACCATCCACAGAAAGAACGAGATACACACAGTGACAGAAATGACTGCCCCAAATAGGGGATGCATGAACATTCATAATGTCTCATAAACAAGAGACTAGAGTCTGCAAGTTGCAGAAAGAGCAGATCTGGGTTCAACATGAAGAAAACCTTCTGAACAATTAGAGTGGCCCCTGATGAGAAGAGACTGACTTGGTAGGCCACAGGACCACAAGCATCAGAGAGCCAAAGCTGAAGGGGACCTTAGGGATCATCTTTTCTAACCTCCTTATTTCACTTGCAAGTCAAGACATCACCCTCTGGAGTTTACTGGTCTTCTTCGAGAATGAAGGACCAACGACACAACAACAAGGAAGCAGGGACCGAGAGAATCAAAATGACGTAACTGAGGCCACGCATCCAGTAAGCACCAAAGTGAGGATCCAAACCCAAGTCTTCTGACTCCAGACTTTCCCATCTCTCAAGGCCTTTGAAGCAGATGTTGGATGAATGCTTGTTCAGAATGTTGGAGAGGGAGTTGCTGCTTGGGAACACGTTGGACTAAATGACCTCTGAGGCCTCTTTGGGCTTCTGGCCTAGATCCTGCCTGATGTCTTTGTTCCCATCATATGGGCTGATGATGTCATATATCACCATCCCTGGTCACATGCCAGAAAGTCTGGACACTTTCCTCAAAGACCCTGAGATCCTTGGGGACTCCAGAAGGCCCCTAAGAGGAGATGTTCCGTCCATCATGTTGTCATCGCTGCAATGACACGGCTTGAGAAGGTGGTTCCCTATCCTTGGGCTTGTGGATCCACCACAGACAGTCACCTATGGGTGGAGCAGTGCTAGGAGATGTCTTCTGAGACATTTCTGGGCACTTGATACCCTGGAGAGGAGTCAACCCTGGGTAGACCGCAGAGGTTGACACTTGTCATTTTGATGTGACAAACCACAGAGTAACCACTGCACAGGGATGATTAAGTGCTTGAGGAAAGCTGAGCCCATCTGGAAATTAACAAAAGCTGCTTGTGAAATGGTATGAGGGGAGTCAGAAATAACTGCCCAAGGGATGGGAAACCTGCTCTGTTCTAGGAGCAGCTAAACTACCAAAAAAAAATCCACTGAGGACTACTTTGATAAAAATCTTTTTTGTTGTTGTTGTTGCTTAAAAGAAAGAAGTGCACAAAATCTTCTATTCACCCAATTTTTACCTAAGAAGGAAAGGTGTCCTGGAGCAATAGAAATGATACTAGAGAAGTGGGGGCCACAGAAGCAGAATACTGGATATGTTGCCAATCGCAGTTGTTTTGCTGTTGATTTTCTTAATTATTTTTCTTTATTACAAGGGAGGGCCTAATGGGTTGAGGTATATTGGGAAAAAACTGAGGCAGAAAACACACACACAGTATCAATAAAATTTTAAATAAAAAACAAAGAACATTGGACTAGGAATCAGGAGCACTAGTTCAAGTAAGAATTAAGTGATCTTGGATAAATGACTTAATCTTTATGGGCCTCTATTTTTCATCTGTAAAATAAAGGTGGAGTAGAGTAGAAAGAATATTGTCCTGGCAGTCATTAGCTCCAGTCTCCAGCTCTGCCACTAACCTTCCATATGACCTTGGGTAAGTCACTTCCCTTCCCTGGCTTCAGTTTCCCGATCTATAAAATAAGGGGATTGCACTAGATAGCTTCTGAGCAACTCTAGATCTGTAATCCTGTGACTCCATGATCTCTAAAGGCCCTTCTAGCTCTGATGTCCTATGACTGCATGAAGCTCAACTAAAATAACATATTTCAGTGAAGGAATAGAAATTAACAGGGGGAGTGGGAAGAAGAGAATAGAAATGATGTGCAGAAAATACAACGATAGGGTAAGAGACAGAAGGAGAGATGGGTATGAACATAGAGAGAAACACAGGGACACCACATATCCAAGAAAACATGAACACAGAGACACACACACAGATGCACACAAGACAGAGTGGCAGGGATGCCTGCAGAGACTGAAGTGGGGGAAAAGCCCCAGATGCCTACACAGCCTCTCCCGGAGTAACAGCATTGCCTTGTGCACTCAGTATATGTGCTAAAGTGACCTTGGCTCAGTATATGTGCTAAAGTGATGTTGCATTTTCACAACTATCTGCATAAATAAGGATCATATTTCAGACACTTGTTGCATGAAATGAAGTGAAGGGCTAGACCTGGGCTGTGGATCGGTCTTGTTCTGCTGCCATCAACAAGCAACAGATTCATAAGGAAAATGACCTGGGAAATGCTACACATTTCACACCAAAAGGAGGACTTCTCCATTACTGGAGATATTCAAGCAGAACTGCCTGGCTAAATGTTGGAAATGCTAGATAAAGAAAATGCACTTGGGTAAAACTTTGACAAAATGCCCTCTGAGGCCTCCTTTAGCTCAAGGATCCTAGATTTATAAATAACGAGCTATTTAATACCTGCATCAACAGAATTCCACATATACAGAGGCTTCAAGGTAAGAAGTTTTTGAGCTACCTGTTGAGCTATCCTACCATCCTTCTACTGAAATCTGGTATCTATAGTATCATGCATAGGTCATTCTCCTGCCATCTTGTTTCTTCTGCACTTCTGAAGCAAATATGTCCTAGAGTTCTAAGCAGTTGAGGCATTGAGCTACTCCTTTTTTTTTTTTTTTTTTGGTTAGGCAATTGGGGTTAAGTGACTTGCCCAGAGTCACACAGCTAGTAAGTTTCAGGTGTCTCAGGCCAGATTTGAACTCAAGTCCTCCTGACTTGAAGGCTGGAGCTCTATCCACTGTGCCACCTAGCTGCCCCATTGAGCTACTCCTGATAAAGTTTTCGTATCTTGCTGTAATGCTAAAAAAAAAAGAGCCAATCAAGTATCCTCACCACTCCCTTCATTCTATCCTCTACCTCCTTACTCTGTAGTCAGATAGAGCTCAGGCTATGACCTGTTCCTCATACATTTCTTCTTCTGATCTCCTCTTTTTCATGAAATGTTCCCTAAATACCTGCAAGTGAGATGATATTATGTCTTCCCTCATCTCCTTTGTTGCCTTCCTATCACATTTTGATAACCTATAGTTGTCCAAAACCAGAACAAGCAGGCTCAACAGACAGATGCAATGTGGCATAGCAGTTAGGGTGAGACTTGGAGATAGGAAGATCACTCTGAAATGGTGTGACTGGGGTAACTGAAGCTGAGCCTCAGTTTATTCATCTGTGAAATGGGGCTACCATTGTAGTGATAGGATAACATTGGGTACAGGGTTGACTTTGGAATTAAGAAGACCTAGGTTCAGACATACACAGGCTGGGTGGTCTTAGGCAACTCACTTAACCTTTGTCTGCATCAGTTTCCTCAGCTGTAAAATGGGGATAATAATAGCACCTACTTCACAGGTTCTTGTGAGATTTAATGAGGTAATATTTCTAAAGCACTTATCACTGTGCCTGGCACATAGAATAAATGCTTGTTCCCTTTTTCTCCCCTTTGTTATGAGGTTCAAATGAGATAAAGCACAGAAAGAAAGCACTTTGTAAACCTTTAAGTCCTGCATAAATGTCAGATATTTTTATTTCCCCCAGTTGAATGAAAATTTCTTGACAGCAGGGATTGTTTCATTTTTGTCTTTGTATCTCTAGTGCCTAGCACATTGCATATAGTAAGTGCTTAATAAATGCTTGTTGAACTGAAAAGACAGTGAGTTCTCTATCACTGGAGGTATTCAAATAGAGACTGGCTGGCTACTTGTTTGGAGATGTTGGAAAAAGGAGATGCACTTTGGATAAAAACCTTCTAAGGTCCCCTTTAGCTCTAGAATTGAGGTTTATAAATAATGAAATATTTAATATATGCATGAATACAATTCCACCTATACATATTTCCTCTGTTGAGGCTTATCTGCTTTGACCTTGTCTGTTTCCTATTGAAAGCATCTA